CTCCGTTAGCCTTCCCCGGATGGTAGGCTATCTCCAGATCGTAATCTGCAATCAGCTCTAACCATCTCCGTTGTCTCAGATTCAGATCCTTCTGAGATATTACATAAGTCAAGCTCTTGTGATCCGTGTTGAGCTTAACTTTCTCTCCGTACAAATACGATCTCAAGATTTTTAGCGCGTGAACTATCGCCGCTAACTCCATATCATGTGTCGGGTAGTTCTCCTCATGTTTCTTCAGCTGCCTCGACGCGTAAGCGATCACATGTCCCTCCTGCATCAACACGCAACCGAGTATGTGCTTGGACGCATCAGTATATACATCGTATAGCATTCCCGGCCGTGGTAATGCCAGGATTGGCGCTGATGTCAATCTCCGCTTCAACTCTCCGAAGCTCTTCTCGCAGTCTGCCGTCCACTCGAACCTGACGTTCTTTCCTTTCAGCTTCGTCAAGGGTCGAGCGATTTTGGCGAAACCCTCGACGAATCGTCGGTAATAGCCGGCTAGTCCCAAGAAGCTCCCGACTTCCGTCGCAGAAGTCGGGGACTGCCACTCCATGACGGCCTCGATCTTTGCCGGATCGACCTGAATGCCCTGGGCCGATACCACATGTCCTAGCATTAAAACTAAATGAATAAAAATCAATATAAATATAATAAATATAATATTTATCACCATTTTACAAGTTTAAGATTTTTTATAGGTTTTTTTTTATATATGAAGATTTTCTATAGGTTTTACCCTAAAATCAAAAAATGGTTTATTTAATCTTATAAACTATGAGAAAACTCAATTGGAACTTTTTTTTTCAACTCAATCATTGTTTCTCCCCTTAAAATTAACATAAGTTTTATGAATACATACATGTCACATATGTGTATATATATGTTTGAAATGCAAAGGTAATCACCGGACAACAATTAATTACTCCCTCCGTTTTAAAATATTTATAGTTTTAAATTATTTTTCATGTTTCAAAATATTTGTCATTCTACATTTTCGAGACATTGTTTTACAATAGTTTCCAATTTTATCCCTATCAAATTTCAATAAATTATTAATGATAACATTGTTTTTATCATTAAATAAGGGTATATGTGACTTTTTATCTCTTTTCTTAAAAATGTGAAATAACCTAAAACAACAATTATTTTAAAATGGAGGGAGTACAACATATAGGGCAAACCGTCATTGAGTACTTAATTGTAACAAAAGCACCAAACTTTAAGATAGAATGTTTTCCGGAAAACTTACTCGAAAATCGCACGGATATTCAATTTTCGAATGTACAAATTGGATTTGGGAGGGGTAAGTTTATTTCAACATACATAATTTCTTCTCATTGGTTCTAAATTGTTTCGATTATCGGTGATTTTCGATTATCGGTGATTTTGACAAAGTTTCCATCGATTTCATTTTTCAAATCGAGATATTTTTTCGATTGATTCTATTTTTTTTTGTGTGTGTAATTGTTTGCTTACTCGCGTTATGTGGATACCCGAACCGGAGGAGGAGAGGTCGCGAGTGGGCGATGAGGGGTGGTGAGTGAGCTGTGAGACCTCAGTTTCTAGAGTTCGGGTTAACGATTTAATTTTTGAAAGAGAGAAGCCGGTAGTAAAGGCTCGCCCTTGCCCGTCGGACCCTTGCCGGTTGTCGTTCGCTCCTCCCCACTTTCTTTACGGTCTCGTCGGACGAAGCTCGCCCCCTTTGCCTCTCCTCACCGCACCTTTTGTTGGCCAGCTACCCTCTTGGCGGTTAACGAAGCGAGGCCGAAATCCGTAGTCCGACCAAAAAAACAAGAGGGATGAAGCCGAGGACAAGGAAAACAACTTGTATGATGTTGTCTCTGTTCATGTATGTTTTCTATGTTTTAGTTGACTTAGAGGTAGCTGTTGGGTCTGAGACTTAGCAGCCTCCACGTCTTTATAACTTGGTCGCCAAGAAATCAGCAAGAAGGTTTAGAAAATAAAAATAAGAAACCATGTTCACATCATTACATGTATATACAAAATGATTGAAAAAAAAATGCGCATTAAATCGGAGACAGAACATCTTGTGTTTTTTTCCCCTCTTGTTTATGTAATTTCCGAATATCGTATCTTATAAGATAGATAAAACAATCCAAAAATGTTGGAGATTAAACTCTTTCGTTTTTTAGATTCCATGTCCATTTTTGTTAGATTGTAATAAAGTGAAAAACAAGAAGAAAAATCACGCTTATATGGAAATAATCCACACGCCCTCATGTATACATACATGCGTATATGCATTGAATCCAGCAATTAAATTTCCTAGACGAGAACGCACACAATGAAAATGTATTTAATTACAAAAAAGGGGCAAAAACCCTAATAAATCCCCAAAATTTAGTCGCAACGTGAGAGCCTATTCCTTGTCAGTTCATCCCCAATTCCCCGTCTGACCTGTTTCCATTGTGCCTTGTGATCACATTTTCAATAGTGGGTTTGCGGAAATTTCTCGAATTTGATTGATTGTCGTCTTCATCGAAATCTATGTTAGATCGAAAGCCCAGAGGAAGACCCACAAAAAGATTTCTCCTTTGTATCATTCTTCAATTAATATCTCCGTGGGTTAGGTTCTGCCATTGAGGTTTGTTCATGGAAGCTCTTCTTATACCCATCAGATTGCGCAAAATAGGGGATTTATGTCGAGAAATGATATTTCGGGTTTCGTTTCGTGAATCGGAAGAAAAGGGCTTTAAGGGCTTTGTGTTTGGTGATTTGCGAAACCTCGTGTCAGTGAAGTTTTAGTTTTGTTTTGGGGGATTTTATCATATGGTTGATTTGACATTTTTTTGTTTCTGCAAAAAATGGGGAATGTTTGTGTTCATATGGTGAGCAATTGTGTGGAGACCAAATCAAGTTCATGGGTTCGTCCCACAGATTTGATCATGGAAAATCCCGTGAAACAGCTCCCAGATAAACCTCCTCAGCAAATGGTCATGTCAAAGGAAGAAAACACCAAGCCTGAAAGCCAAAAAACCGGTCAAGGAGACAGGAAATTACTTGGGAATGGAGGTGAGAATGCGAAAAATGTGCAGAGGCAGAAAAACTTTACAGATTCAGATCCATCAGATTCTGAGGAAGACGAAGAAACGGATCGGACAAAGAGTACCGAACATAAGCCGAAACCCCCTGTTGTGTCTGAAAATGTCAGAAAGCCTCACAATGTGAGGAGACTATTGAGTGCAGGTTTGAAGGCTGAGTCTGTGTTGAAAACCAAGACTGGGCATTTGAAGGAATACTATAACTTGGGGAGCAAGTTAGGTCATGGGCAGTTCGGGACGACTTTCCTCTGCATTGAGAAGGGAACAGGTGAGGAATATGCCTGCAAATCGATTCAGAAGAGGAAGCTAGAGACCGAAGAAGACGTGGATGATGTCAGAAGGGAGATTGAGATAATGTACCATTTGTTTGGTCAACCTAATGTAATTTCCATCAAAGGAGCTTATGAGGATTCTGTGGCGGTTCACATGGTGATGGAGTTGTGCAGAGGAGGAGAGCTTTTCGATAGAATTGTGGCGAGAGGGCATTACACAGAGAGAAAGGCTGCTCAATTGGCTAAAATCATCCTTACTGTGGTACAGACCTGCCATTCTTTAGGCGTTATGCACCGAGATCTTAAACCCGAGAACTTTCTTTTTGTTAACGATCATGAGGATTCTCCTCTTAAGGCTATAGATTTTGGGTTATCTGTGTTCTTCAAACCCGGTATGTTAATAAAGTTACTTGACTTCTGCTTGTAGAGCTTGCCTTGTTTCATGTACTCCATGTTTTAAGATCTTCTTATATTTAATCATTGAAGGGGAGACTTTTAGCGATATCGTTGGAAGCCCTTACTATGTTGCACCTGAAGTTCTGAATAAGAGTTACGGTCTAGAAGCCGATATCTGGAGCGCTGGTGTGATGATTTACGTGTTGTTATCAGGATCAGCTCCATTTTGGGGAGGTAATGATAATTTCTGTTATTTGGTTGATCACAACTTTATGGAAAAGCTTTTTGTGTCTCATAGATATCTGCATGTGGCAGAAACTGAAGAAGAAATATTCTACGAGGTTTTGCATGGTGATCTTGATTTGTCATCGGATCCATGGCCAGAAGTCTCCGAGAACGCGAAAGATTTGATCAGGAAGATGCTCGAAAGAAACCCAGGAAGAAGATTAACTGCTCATCAAGTCTTGTGTGAGTTGTGTTATGAAGTCTCATGTTTTGATCTGGCTTCAAGTTTACAGTCATAAACCCATTGTATCTTCCAATCTATTGGTTCAAACAGAGTCGTTCATGCATCGATTTATGTACTTATTTGTTGTTTCAGCACATCCTTGGATTCAGGATGAAGGATCGACTCCAGATAGACCCCTTGACCCGGGAATCTTGACTCGGTTAAAGAGATTTTCAGCAACAGACAAGCTCAAGAAGATGGGTTTAATGGTAAAGAATCTTTAAGCTTTACATATCAAAAGATGACTCTCCATTTTGCATCTAGTGACTTGTGAGAGATTTCTGATTTTTCTTTTCTATTCTCTACCAGATAATAGCCGAGAGTCTTTCAAAAGAAAAGATTCACGGGCTCAAAGAAACGTTCAATACGATAGACAAAGACCTTAACGGGCGAATAACTTACAAAGAACTCAAAAACGGGTTGGAGAAATTCGGTGTAAATCTTGATCATTCTGAGATCATTGCCCTTATGGAAGCTGTAAGCAAAAAGATTTCAGAATCAAGATACCATTTTGTTTATTCTGACTAAGATTTTTTTCAAACTCTCAAACATTTTTGCTGGAAATCACAGGCTGATATTCACGATAACGATAAAATAAACTACGGAGAATTCATAGCTGCAATTGTTCGCCTGAAACAGATCGATGGCAAGAAAGAAGAGGAACACATTTTTGCAGAGTCCAAGTGTCTTGAAAACGATTACACAAGGTGAGGTTTCGGCAACTGTGTAAGGAAAGCAATCCGCATCGGAGAAAGAAGTGATCTATGAAGCTGATCTGAGCAATGTAAGCAGATACATTCCATGTTTTTCCTGTGTATGAGTTTAAGAACCGTTGATTGTATCCTGGTTGCAGCAGGGAAGATAACGTATCTAGAATCGTTGGTTCGGGATTAGGGTTTACGGTTTAGATGTTAAATAATAAATGATTAGATATGAAATTTAGATGCAACAACATCTAAATCACAAGAGGTTTAGATCTGGTTTCATGCTACAAGAACAAAGCCCCCATTGTTATAGATTGTTGTTTCTAATGAAAGTAAATAGTACAACTAAGATCCTTGGTTTCAGGATTTTAGTTCTCCAGTTCAATATACATATATTCTAGTAATAGTTAGTTTCGTCGCAATCCACTTGAAAGAATCAGTTTGGTGACAAACTGTGAATAAATTCGATTAGGCGTTAGGTTTGGTAATAGAAATGAGCTATTTAATTTTTTTTTAAATCACGAATATTTCGGTGATATTCTTTTTTTTTCCTCGATATTTTAAATGATTCAGGATGGGGATGTGAATCATCACAGCATAAGGGAACTTGATGATCACGAGCTTGATGAAAATCAACTTGACCAACAAAGAAATTTTCTTTTTTTAGTTTATATTTTTTCTCATTTTCTTCCATATATTTGATTCCTCTTTATATATATATATATATATAATGTATGTATATATGTTAGTAGGACAGAATTAAACAAGTCCATCTATGATCTGATGGCTTATGTGCTGTTGCAGTAAAGGTTAAAAGAAAGAAGGGTTTTTTTTTGTCCTTTAAAGAGGACTTCGTAAGAATTGGATTCTGAAAATAACCCCGACTTTTTTATATTATCTAAAACAACCTTAGGATCACCGAACTACATCGGTTTCCTGTTTCCTCTCCGATCGGCCCACTGCCGACCGGTGAAAAGCAAACCCTAGCCACCAACCGTCGGCCGATAAACATGCGCGACTCTGCCCCCTTCCTCCCTCTTCCTCCCCCTTGCCCAAACCCCTCACAAACCTCTTTCCCCTCAACTCCACCCAAAAACTTACGATAGCTATAAGCTCTGCCCGCCTATGGCCAGACATCTATCTTGGCCGCGGAGTTACGGATAGACATTTCGGTTCGATTCCGAAGTATCAAACCATACTGAATAAAAAAATACGATATTTTTTGGATCCAAATCGTTCAAAATTTTCGAACGGTATTAATTTTAAAAAAACCGAATTTTGGAGAACCGAACCGAACTCTAAAAAAACCTGAAAAACTAAATTTTTCTTAAGAAGATCTAATTTTTTTAATAAATACCGGAATCGAATCAAAACCGAAACTCAATCGAACCGAATATAATATAATAATCGATTGGTATTTATTTTTGTAAATCCAACCAAACCATTCTCGATGTGAACCCGACCCGAATACCGAAACGTCCATACCTAGCCGGAGCCATGGTCCTGTGGTTTCTTTTCGCGTCGGCTCCCCCCTTGCCCAACATACTGGGTCCCCCACCCCCGACGACCACTACCTCTTCTAGGGTCTGCAACCCTAAATCACCCGACACCAATCACCCACCTTCCTCTCCTTCCTTGCTAAGGGCCCCGGCGAGTGTCGCAGATCTAAACACTCGCCCGACCCCATTCTCTCTCCACCACTCAAACTCTCACCTCTGGCTCCTTATCCTTTTCTACCTCCCACTTCCTCTCTGACAAAAACTTCCCGCCATTGTTTCAGGCAAATAGGCCAAATCTATCTGGTTCCTCCAAGGAATCGATGCCCACCCAGCATCTCGACTCAACTATGGCTAAGGACCCACAAGTTAATGAGAGTTCCAGACTACTTTCCTCCCTACATTACCTCAAGCGAACGGGGAACACGTCACATTCCAGAAGAATCAATCAGGGAACTCCACGTCAGAATGGAAAAATATCATATTTGGACAATTTTTCGGCTTGCTCGACCCGGCCAAGGGTCGTATCTTCGCCCGAACGCCCTGTGGTCGCGACGAGGTGGAAAAATCAAGGTACAATTCCTGGATGATAGAAATTTTCTATTAAAAGTCCCGGACCGAGCCACCAAAGCATTGTATTCAATCGGAGGATATGGTATGTCGGGCCATGTCCTATGGTGGTCTTTACTTGGTGTCCGTCACTCGATCAACCCAAACCGAAGCTGATAGCGATGCCAACTTGGGTCACGTTTAAGAACCTCCTCCTGCTGCCACTTTACAACTCCGATAGCTTGAACAGAATAGCCACAAGTGTCGGCAACCCTTTGTACCTTGATCGTACCAGAACAAAAAAGGAGAATCTCTTGGTAGCCCCGGTCTTCGTCGATGTTCCGCTTGATTCCTCGTCCCCTTCGGTGGTGGTGGTAAGTATCCTAAACGATAAGGCATATCGTATCTCAGTAGCATACGACTGGCTACCCCTGCGATGCAACCTGCACTCAGAAATGGGCCACGGCGGGAGATTCTGCCCAAATCATCATGTGAACAGTGACAGACCGGCACACAGTCGTACCCGTGACTTGCCGCAATCCCAAGCCTTACGGCAAAGTACTCCAACTCCCCTTGACTCCCATCCTAGCATAGTCTAGGCCCTATTAGGTTAGTGGTAGGCTATGAAGTCTGACATTAGTGCTAAAAAAACCAACATTTATATGTTATCTCGATCAAATAAAATGTAAGTTTGCATTACCGTATTTTCAAGCCAGACTAACAGAGAGATTTACTCCCCAAAATTCATTCCATTCCGAGTGCAAGACGGAATAGTAAACAACATACTGTAATTCTTTACATGAAATCATTATGCAGATCAAGTGGGACTGATGATGGAAGAGGAACATCATATGACAACAACACTCTACATAAATCCATGGTTCCATGACAGGTATTGCTCCTAACAAACCTGTCACCACCTCGATGCAGTGCGTCTCTAATCATCATGTCCAAGACGATCAATGGGGAGCAGCCGAGCCGAGGAGATTGTATAAGGAGCAGAAAACCTTTCTGTACCGAACTGTGATGGATCACGATAAGATTGACTTGAAGTTGAGGGAAGATAAACATTCGACGTGCCTGTATACGTATTTAGCTGTCTATCTAAACTGGAGCTAGTGGGTGGTGTTCTGTTACCTTCCCAAGCAGATGTTGCAGAAGATATGTGGCTGTCTGAAACACTTGGTGTGCTTTTATAGGGTCTGAAACGTTGAGGATCATCGATCAGTGGATCATCTGAGCTGAAGCCTATCCACAGTTTTGATCCACCGATATGAGGGGTGGTCGGAAGTCGGTCACTTGTATCACGTAAATGGCTTTGCAAGCTCATGCTTGGAAGGCTCTTTCGGATTGTTTCGGTGAAAAGATAGTCCTGGGGAAGTAGAGGTAAATCTATCTTCTGCACGTAACTGTCCAAATTTTTCTGAGAACTCAAAGCATCAGAGGAGAAGTCAATGGGTACCCGAAATAGTCCAGCACATCCCACAGGAACCTCAGCCATGGACCCGACGATTGAAGGCTCTGGTGGTATAGTGCATATATTTATTGTGGAAACCGGCAGGGAAGAACATGAACCTTCTGAAAGATACCCAGCTTTTGCAAGACGTGGATTATTGACTTTGTCCTGCAGAGACAACCTGGCTTGTCTGAGCGCTCTGAGCACTGTATCACAGGAACTAGAATTCGCCCCTGCCACTGGAGCCAATGGATAAGCACCTGCCTGAATGATAGCAGCACTTCCTAAATTTGGTTGCGCCAGAGCTGACAGATTAGGTGACGAAGAGAGCTCAAAGAAACCACTACTTTTCGTAGACTCGGTAATATATTCTGCTGTGTGCCCCTGAGAAGGAATACTTTGATCCATGGATTTTGAGACATAAGTTGGACACTGGTTATCCTGTGATACTACGGAGTTGCCGGGGAAAAGACGTGAAGGAGTTTGACATAATTCCGCAGAATCAACGTCGGTTTTTGATGTTGCTTCAAGGACCGAGGTGACTATTGCAGCACCTTGATGCTGAACTTTGGTCTTGGTCTCATTACTTTCCTCTGTCACATCTGAATGGTTTCCTGGGTCACATAAATCCTGCAAGGTTGGCAGCAAACAACAAATCAAAGATTTACACTAGATGGTTTCATCAAATAGCCACTCCTGCAATCTTCTAAAGATAGTGTCACGATAGCATCCCATCTAGGGTTCTATCAGGTGCATTAACATAGTTATAGATAAAAATAGTGTTAAGAGTACGTTATTGTCTCCGGAAAGGAGGAAGATCAACTGGTCAGAACAGTATAACTTGTTAACGTTAATCAAAGAGTATAAACACCATAATCACAACTGATGATGAACAAGTAGACGATTCTCCAGAAATCAAAGGCTGTGAAAGAAGGGCATACCAGGGCAGAAATGTTGCTTTCTCTGAACCCTATTTCCCATTCTCTTTGAGTCCTTTCCAAATCTCCAAAGCATCCAATCACACGTGCACGGTTTTCTAACGCTCTCTCCAAACTGGTTTGTTTCTCTAAACAGTTTGAACTGAAAACTTTCTGCAGATGTCCATTTTTCTTCAAATCAGCAGCATTAGGCACAGTTTTAGGAGCTTCCTCGTAGAGCATCTCAGAGTTATTAACACTGCTTTCTTGATGATCCGATGCATTTCTATCTCTCTTGTAGTCCTCAACTACAGATCTGAAATTTTCATAAATGCTGCTTTGATTGATAAACAATACATGAAAAACAGATAAGATAAACACATAAGCAAGTCAAGGTTAACTTGGCCAAGGAACTTGATTAGTACTTACATTCAGTTGAGAATGAAATACAAAATCTTAAATGTCAAATAGCATAAATTATTTAGGCAATGCTTGTGAAATAGAATAAATCCAATGAAGCGAGAAATCAAATCGCAGCCATTAGTATAAAAACTGAGAACCGAAGAGCAATGAACTGACCTTGATTCACTGTGTCTTATCTGTCGACATGATTTGCCTTGTCGAGTTCTTGGGGAGGGAAGATAGACAGACTCAAAACTTCTTTGTCTCCCTGTACGATATTCCTTGACCTTTTCTGAAGAACTTGGTTTGCTCCTGCGGCCTTTCCAGGATATTCCTTTGCCAGGTGCTGGAAAAGAATCAAACTCAGATGCAGAGAGCTCATTAATCTCGTTATTCTTTACCCCCGAATCCACTGATATTTGCACTACATTGGTTGAACTTTTATCCGATTTTGTTTGAGAGACGCTTTCATGGTCAGAGCTTGAATCATATGTCTCTGAAACATCAGTAAATCCATTTTCTTCGAGAATTGCAAGGACATCAACAGTTGCCATCTCTGCCTTCTTTCTCTGTAAAGAAACAATCTTCAGCTGCTCCTCCAGTTCTATTAGCTACACAATCGATGGATAGTGGAAGGAGGCCGAAAAAGGTTAGACTGTCCATTAAATTATAAGAATCACTGGGGAAGTTATTTAAAAATATGGATAGCACGTACCCTTTTTGCAAGTTCATCAACTTTCTCCCTTGCACTCTTTGAAACAGCTCTTTCAGCAAGCAGACGTGCACGAAGAAATTCAATGGTCATTGAGTTTGGATCTTCCATGGCAGGAGGATTAGCCCTATGAAGCACCAAACCAACTGATAAGCCACACAGTAGGACATCAGATACATTTCTCAAGCCAATTAACCAGCTACTGTTGTCTGAGTAGACCCTAAAACAAAAAATTCTTTGGTATTTCATAATGAACTCTACAGAATTCAAAAACAGACCATCAGTACAACTGGTGAAGTAAAAAAGTCAGAAAACGGCTGTAAGAGAGAAACAGCGAGAACGGGAAACATATCCCACAAAGTTACTGAATTCAACTTCTACAGGCACATTGGCATTAGATGGTCCAAGTTCATCACTTCCAAGGGATTGAAAACAAACTGCCAGATATCAGAAATTAACAGTTTCCAATATTTGATGTCCTGGGGGCATGTAGAAGTCTCTCCCCTGCGATCATAAAACCCGAAAAATCCACGGGAAGTGCAAGTTTCGATCCAATAAACAGAAGGATCATGGGTTCGGCCAATAGAAACCAAAATCTAAAACCACAGAATCCGATTGCTCAAAAAAGTAACAAGCAAGATGTGAACCTTACATCAAACCCCTTCAAATTCAAAAGCATGAATCCCCAGCCCCAGGTATTTCAGAAGCCATCTAATTACATTGACCAAACAACTCTCCCGGAACGATTATGGAATCGAATGTATTCCGATAAACAATGAATTTGAAAGATAAAAAACACAGCTCTCTAGAGAGTAATTATACAGAATCAGAAGAAGCCAAAAGAAAGAAACATACATCTGATGAACCGAGCTCGCGTGATCGGAACCTTGATGCGCCATGGAAGGCGCAAAAAGAGTGAAAAATCGAGGACCAGGAATCAAAACCGAAGAATCTTCGATTTCAGAAAGTGAATGAAATCGGGAGTTTAGGGTTTCGTGAAACCTATAGTAATCACTCGAAAGGGTCAGCAATGGCAGAAATTTAGAAAGAAAAAAAAAAAAGGCCGGAGGGGGAAGACTGACTTCGATGTTCAATTCAACGCGTTGTCTTTTTCTGTTTTTTTTTTCTTTCTTCACTTATTAAATATGCTTAAAACCGGACCGGATTGGACCGGCCGATCAGACCTGTTGGACCGCTACACGCGTCGTCGTCCAGGGTGTTCACCAGAGAAACGACGAATGCCGATATAATCTATCCGAAGGTTATTTTTATTATGGGTATCAATCGGACCGGTCCGGTCTGATCCGACCCGAATCCATATTTGGCCTGAAGGTTTCGGATTCGCGTTTAGGTTGGTCCGATTTTTTTCGAGTCAGTGTAGTTAAGTCCGACATTCGATCCTATATATACCAGACTCGGATCAGATAAGATCGAGTCGGTCTGTATAAATCCCTTTATAAATTTTGTTTTAAATATTGGGTTTTCGCACCGATTCGAAAATCCAATTTTTTTCGGATCGAAAAATTTAGGCCTAAAACCTCTAATTTTCGGACTACATCGGGCCGAATTTCGGACCTCACGTCCAAATTGACACCCTTAATTTTTGTGAAAGATCTAGTATAAATACATAAATTTTATCTAATATATTATAAAAATACATGAACTATTATTTTAATATAAAAAAATTAAATAAATACACGATTTTATTCAAATTTTATATATGAATTTTTATTTTTTAAAAAATATATCAATTTGCGATTTTCTTCAAATTCATACATGAATGTTAACGACATTAACTAAATAAAAGTTTGGGGCTAACGGTGTTGATGAAGCTAATCGGATATTTCATATCGACACCGTGAGAATTTTTTGTCATATTAAATAAATAATAAAAATAAAAATATATAAAAAATGCTATTGTGAGTTGACCAATATATCGGAAATCTATCTGAGTCTAATGATATACCCCCCAACCCGTAGTTCCAATAGAACCTATATCATTCCCCTACTCTAAATATCCTCTCTTGATCAGAAAGTGTAATCTCAAATCCAATTTCGTTTCACAAATCATAATTGATCTTTAATAAGACGTTATAATTATCCATGACGGATAACATTTGAGATGATCTAACCAAACTCAGTAAAATTCAAGTGATGATCCCTTTGTCATATATACGATATCATTTGTCAAACAAAAAATATGGAACTAACCGGCAATATTGCAGAAATACCCTTACTTTGCAACATAGACTTCATGGACTACCCTCCAAAACCCTAGTTTTTCAAAAAAAAAAACTAAATGAGCAAAAGACATAATTGACCTTAATAAAAACTACACGTGGCGCAACATGAAGGAAGGACGGTTAATCTTCTCCGAGGTAATATAGCAAAAATACTCTTACTTTGCTACAAAGACTTCATGGTATACCCTTCAAAACCCTAAAATTTTGGAAAAAAAAAATAAAAGGAACAAAAGACATAATTAACCCTCTCACAAAAGTAACGTGATACTCCTCTCTTCATTTTGAATTCATCTCTCTCGTTTTCATTCTTTGACAACTCTTCATTTCTTTCTTAATTTTCTCTCTCCATTCTTATCTTTCTCTCAACTCTTCCATTTTCTCCCTTCTCATTTCATTTTTATACATAGAAAAACAAACGAAAAATGGTTATTTCGTTGAGCATATCTTCACCGACGACCTCATATCTTCTTCTTGAGTCGGTCTAAGACAGAACAAGTGACAAGAACTGAAGGTAAGTTCATTAATACAAGAGATTGGTTCAACGCATAAACATTGTGTTTTGGGTTTGAGGTTTATGATTGCTAGAGTGAATCGTGTGTTTTTTTTATGAAAAAGAGATAGATGCATAGCAAATCTGTCGAAGAATACGCAAGAGGCGCATATTTAATTTCAAATAAATGTTCGGAGCGATAATGGAACGGATTGACAACGAAAACAAAGGTACGTCACATTGGTTACACCGTTTAAAATTTAATTTTGGTCACACTTATCACCCTGGTCACACCGTTCAAAATTTAGTTTTGGTCACACTAGTCATATTGGTCACACTGGTCACACTAGTCACTTGGTCACACTGGTCACACAGAAAATTTTTAAAATTCACGCGAAAATATTTATTTTTTTGTGATGGAGGGAGTTTTAAAAATTTTAAAATATTTAAATTTTTTCCTAGGAAATCGAAAACTGCTTTTCTCGCTCTCTTCTCATTAATGTTTCTGTCATTGGGACCTACGCCAATGAGTATTTTGGGAATAACATAATTATAAAGGTATGTTTTGAAGTAGTTTTAATTTTTATTTTTGCAGGGGTATGCTGTGAAGTCTTTGTAGTATAATAGAGGTATTTTTGATAAAAATCCCTCTTCCCGAATCGACACCCCTAACTTAGTCGGTTTCGAGACAAATTTCAAAACTGCTTGCTTCTCTCTCTTGTTAAAAAAAACTGGTTTTTCAGAAATCCGGTGAAATCCTTTCGTTTCTCGTCGATTCTCACAAATCAGAACAATGGCTTCAAAATCGAACAGAAATCAAAAGAAGACTTCAACTCCCGCTCGCAAATCGGGACGCGGTGGAAGAAAAAAACAGGAACTGAAGGTAAGTTTGGTAGTAAATGACTTTGAGTTTGAGGCGATGCAAGAAATCTGTGTTTTTTGGGTTTGTGTTTATGATTTTTAAGTTAATCGTGTGATTTATGGTGAAAAATGGGTTGTTAGATTCACTGAAACTTGTATTTGGTCACACTGGTCACGTTGGTCCTACTGGTCATGTTGGTCCCACTGGTCACAATGGTCCCACAGATGACACCGTTTATGTTTTGTATTCGGTCTCACTGGTCACGTTGGTCACACTGGTCACGTTGGTCCCAATGGTCACATAGGTCCCACTGGTCACATTGGTCCTACTGGTCACATTGGTCACGTTGGTCACACTGGTCACGTTGGTCACACTGGTCACGTTGGTCACACTGGTCACGTTGGTCACACTGGTCACGTTAGTCCCACTGGTTGTGACACCCGAATCCCGCATCCCGTGAACAGGATATGCCACATGGACGAAAACCAGTAAAGCATAATAAACCAAGAGTACGGGAATTTAAAATCGTTTTTAAATACAAATACGCAGCGGAATTAAAATCATCACACGTTTCTCAAAAACAACACTTGTCCAAACCCACAATTAAACCCAACCGATTTCACGCAAAACCTTGTTCCACAAACCAAAACGTACAAACAGGATTATTTATCCGTACATAATGAAGTCTTCACAAAGCCGTCGCCGTCCACAGTGCGTTATTCGTGCTCCTCGGGATCTGAAAAATTCAACAACGGAGGGCTAAGCAAAATGCTTAGTGAGCAGCTCGGGTTGAGCCCAGAGAGCCCATTCTCATGGAGAACGGTGCCAACTAATCTCTCAATACAAGAATTCTTTTAATCCATTTAATCCTTTCTCATTTATCTTTTTAACACTTTAACATTATTTCACACATTTTTCCGATACCTGATAGTACTGACTCAAGTCGTCCACCGGCACTATCAGGTACCGTTCCTTTCGGTATCATCTAGTACTGACTCAATTCGTCTACCGGTACTAGACTTTACCCTGCTTCCCTATAATAGTACTGACTCCACTTCGTCAACCGGTACTATTA